AAGCTGGTCCGTCATAACAAGCTGGTCCGTCACATACTCACACATAACCGGAGAGCGAGCATATACAAGCTCAAGACGAAGGAGGCCGCCGACAATCTCAACGAGTGCGAAGACCGAGACAACAGGGGAGAGTGGATTTTTTCTTTGTTAGTTTTTCCATGTAGATTATATATTGTCGTATGGATTTATTGATGCATTTAGATTTGTTTAGCTTAGACTACATATTATCGTATGGTTAGACTTGATACATTTGGAATTATTTTGTTATGATGTGTATTTTTATAGAATTTTGGATGTGGTGATGTGTATTTTTATAGAATTTTGGATGTGGTGTTGTGTATTTCGTCGGATTATGTGTTGTGATGATGTGTATTTTTTAGATTTGTGTTGTGATGTTCTAATTTTATAACTTTTATCAATGTATACAACGTAAATGATATATTTTGGCGAAAATTTTGGTCGTATACGAAGCTAGAGGTATGTGCATATTTTGTGCATATTTTACCTCAGCCCAGCAAACATACTGGGCTGAGGCAAAATGCCTCTGCATAACGTACAGGCTACTAGTCCCGTACGTTATGCAGAGGCATTAGTCTCGTACGTTATGCAGAGGCATTTTGCCTCTGTCCAGAAAATATATGGGACTAATAGTCACGTATGTTTGCTGGACGGAAGCAAAATGCCTCTGTTTTATATACGGGACTACTAGTCTCGTATGTTATGTTGAACGTCAAAAAGCTCCCAGAAATCATACGGGACTACTAGTCCCGTATGTTTTCTGGGAGCACTAATCAGTGATTAGTGCCCTTAAAAACATACAGGGCTACTAGTCCCCTATGTTTTCAGCTGGATGTTTTTTAAAATCGACCTCTTTTTGGCCTGTTGGACAAAAAAAGGTCGATTTTGCTAAATATTTAGCAAAATGATCAATTTTGCTAATTATTTAGCAAAATGATCGATTTTGCTAAATATTTAGAAAAATCGGTCTATTTTAAAAAAATCCTATATATATAGATTTTATACCCGAATTTCTCTCTTTTCTTCCATCTCTCACGTTCTGAATAGCAGCCACCTCCTCTCAGAACCTTAGAGATCCCTCTTTTGAGTTTGACGAAGCTTTGAGAAGCAAAAAAACCAAGAGGGCGAGATCGACGGCTTCGGTGAGGGAGGTTCGAGTTCCTTGCGTGTGGGAGTTCGACGCGAAATTTTTGAGGCGAGTTTCATCTCCTCCAATCCCATCCCCGTTTTCTTGGTTTTAGTGGATTTTTAAAACCTATTTTATGTGTAAAGATCACCCTTTTTATCTATGTGACGCAAAGATTTAAGGGAAAAATTGCAAAATAGACTGTTTTTGCTAATTATTTAGTAAAATAGACCGTTTTGCTAAATAATTAGCAAAATAGACCTCTTTTTGGCCAACAGCCCAAAAAGAGGTCTATTTTGCAAAACAGCTCAGAAAACATACGGGATTAGTAGTCCCGTATGTTTTAATCACGGATTAGTAAAATTATCTACTCAGAAAACATACGGTACTACTAGTCCCGTATGTTTTCTGAGTCACTAATCTGTGATTAGTTGGCTCTAAACATACAGGACTAGTAGTCCCGTATGTTTTCTGAGCCTTATTTTTCAAAATCGACCTCTTTTTTTCAAAAAAGGTCTATTTTGCTAATTATTTTTCAAAGTGGTCTATTTCGCTATATATTTCATAAAAATGGTCTATTTTGTAAATTTTCCCAAGATTTAATCTTTCTGGTTTAAAAAGTTATAAAATGGATTTCTTTGATTTGGGTTTAAGATTTGAAATAGATCTAACATGAGATTTTGTTAAAGTTGCTTCTTTTCGTGATGAATTTTCAAGCATAAACATGTTAGGGTTTTTTTAGATTTCCCCAAATCTTTATAATTGTGTTTTCATGCAGTAAAGTAAACCCTAATTACACTAAATCAAGTTTTACACATGGGTTCTTTTGAGAAATTTTGATTTTTGTTCATGATAGAGAAAAAACCCGTGAATTGTGATTTGTCACCAGCATCGATCGACAGATCAAAGAAATCGGTCGACCGATTTCTTTGTAGGAAACTGGAGATTTTCCTCTGGTCGGTCGACCGACCTAGGTAATCGGCTGACCGACCGAAGCTGAGTGTGCTTTTTGCCATCGCCGGTCGACCGATGGGTTATGTTGGTCGACCGATTTGAGCTGTTTTGCATAAATTGATTTACCACGTGCTTTTGATCGCAAACACGAAGTGTGAGTCGTACGTCGACACACATGCGAGGCTGTGAGAGGACACGTGTTGGATTTGAGCACGCACAAGCCTATTGATACGCGTAGTATAATGTTTAGAGTTAGTTATGATAGAGAGTGACGTATATTTCGATTTACGATAATTTTGAATGCTTGAGTGGGGTTGGTGCACCACAACGAGACTGTGGTTAACTACACTCAAAGTGTGTTAGTTGGTGTACTGCAATAAGACCGTAGTGGACTACACTCCGTTATGCATCATTGTGTTCCGGATTAGGCTGATATGTCTATACTCCGCAGGGTGTTCGAGTAAAGTAGTGAACCGCAAAATATTGCAATGAGCCATAGGATATTGTGAGCGTCTATTATCCACATCATTTTCTTTGTAGGGAATCATTCAAAATGTAAATTTGCTCCTGTGTTACCTACCTCGAGGGTAGAGTATAAAGCTATGATTTGTTATGTACTATGTATCCTAGACGAGATCTTTTACCGAATGTTTATTTTTTGTTCCCGCGCCAACTACCCGAGGGAAATGTGAGTTGTTACGATATGAATTGTAATGGATGAGGCTTGATAATGTATTGTTCTTTGTTAATTATTTTATTCATAGGATTTTAGAGTTGATATTTAGCGATCCACAATTTGAGATACATGGTATATATATATATGAGGGTTTTTTTGTTTGGATTATTTCGCTCGACGTACTTATTCTCGTGTTGTGTATTTCTAATATTAATTCCTCTTAATTCGGGATGTAGGATTTATATATCTATATATATTGTAACTTGTATTTTTATACACCTAACCACTTCTCCTTGAGGACGGTGGAGATGTTCTCGCTAACGCTTTGACGCTCGTTATTTTCATCTTTTTCAGACAGCGAGTCAAGGGTTCGGAGAGTCGCAGGTTGACGGAGAATCAGCATAATTTGACGTTATTTATTTGTAGATAGTTAGTAGGCACTCCACAATGGATATTTTATTATTTTCTGTCTTTTAGAGTTGTATTTCTTTTGGAGGCTGAGTGTCTATATACTTTTCAGTTGACTCTTTTGTATTAAAGATTCATTATCTTTATTTCGGTTTATTGGATGTACTTTCTTTTCTTCTGTTGGAACATGATTACATTTATCATTGGATATTTTCTCTATATTGTGTTCCTTGTATTATCATCTTTACTATATCTGCTTCTACCCTCATTTCTTGTATTTGATTCTACTAGAGAGATATTACTGTGATGGTGAAACATGCTATTGCATAGTGTACGGTGCATGGCAGGTTTGACATCCTTGGGTTCACCTTGGACTGCAGTCTTGTGTGAAACCAAAGACGTCACACTATATGAGCCCAACTGCATATTAACAACATTAACCGAAACAAATTACGCCTCATTGTTTTAGCACATCGTCCTCTCTTGCTCATAGTTACCTTAACTAGAATGATGTCGTGTTGACACCAAGTTATAAAACCTTACTATAGCTTGTTTGGAGCTCGTCATACTTCAAACCTGAGACCATTTTAATGATGTCAATACTTCACAACATACTGAGAGTTGGTTTAAATTTATGTTGTATTGCTGCAGTTTTAAGTTCCAAGTTCCAACCTATATTCATAACTAAAAACTAGAAATAATATTAAAGTAGAACAATCGTCAACAACAAATAGCATCAGATGTGGTCACAGAAGGAGAAGAAAAATACAATTGTAGAACCCACATTAGACTGAATACGCCCAACTGCCGCTCAAACATATATCAGCCTCCTAAGCTGGTGACGTTCATGCAGTCAAAATCATTTATTCATTTGTGTCTTTCATAGTGAGGCATCCTTCCACTAATCCGGGTTAAGCAAGCAACTCCAAGCCTGTTTACTAATTTGAATATTCATGATATGTGCACGGTATACACCTCATGGTTTCATATGATTTGGGGAAATTCATAAAGACTTTATGTTCACTAATAGCATGAGCATCATGAACACATACAGATATAATGAATGTGTATGCATTTAAAATTCACAGAGATAATCCGTTCTATCATATATGTGCATAAGGAAAACAGTTTAGCCTTCAAAATTTAAATCTACATATTTTCTTCACTGATTCAACCCGTATAAAATTGTCATAGTCTTCATATATCAAAGCCAAAAGTCATCTTCCTTAAGTATAAAAATTAGGGAGAAAACGACAAAAGCCTATAGGTAACGAGAAAGTAGGCGAGAACCCAAATTGCCAAACCTTTCATCTGAAAACTTGAGTTTATCTTTCATGTAATGAAATTCTTGTGCATGTATTCTTCTCTATTGCCACCTTCACATTTAAAGTAGAGCTCGACCTCCACATTTTAGTTTAAGTCTGGAAAGATCTCATATTTCAAATTAGCTCATCAAAAGATGCCCAGTGGACAAGCTCATCCACATACTGTACTAAGAGCATCATCAGTAAAAAGTAGGAGTCCTGTTAACCTAGTACCTTTGTCCTAGAACCACAAAAAGTCAGATAGAATGCATCTGGAAGTCAACTTTATGAAGCTTTAATTATTTTAAGTGGGCCACCTTAACACAAAATGAAGGAGACATCATTTTGCTACCAAGAAAATGACAGCAAAGAGTGTTCTTGAAACTGAATTCCATACCAAATAATAGCTATGACATTCATGCATCTGGTGATTAAAATAACATATTAATCCAGACGCATAAAAGAATTGTTCAAGTTTGATCAGCTTCACAATAAGAATAGAAAACAGAATTACCCTGTGGAGGCTGATCAGGAAGCACGGCTTTTTTATTAATGAGCACCCAGGCATAATCAATTAAAATATTAGCTCGTTCTTCAGTATATTTGGCACGTTCACCACCAGAAGCATTACCCTGCGGTTACCATCAGTTAGTTAATATAATAATAATAATAATAGTAGTAGTAATAATAATAATAATAATAATAATATAGTTGGCCTTAAATTATTTGATTGGATACCAGAATCCATCTACGATAAACTCCAGCTAAGATAGAAGCACCCCGGAATAAAGAGAAGGCCATATAGAACTTCCAGTCTGTAACTGGCCAAGGCTTTCCCTGAAGATGAGTAATTCCAGAAGAAAATGTGAGCCATGCCAATCTAGGGTATGAAGAATCAAATAAAGAAGAGGGAAATGAATAAACCACACATAAAAAAAGTAATACTGAAGTACAAGCATACAGCTGCAGAGCAGTAATCTGAGAGATATTCTGCCAGCGAAGGGATGCCTTCTGGAGTGCCGCAAGATTCAAATCCTTCAGGTGTCGTGTTGTCCACGTTAACAATATATGGCTGCAAAAGAACGTTATTCTTATTATTCTAAATTCAAATGTAAGTCAGCACATTATTACTCTGCGTTCAAATGAAGATTCACAATATATTATGGCCACAGAGTGAAAATCAAGAAACACGGAGTAAAGGAAGAACAAGAACTGCTGAAGTGATAAAGACGAAAGTAAAAAATGTTGAACAAAGTTAAATACTCCTGGCTTGTAAAGAAACTAGAGGATACCATGGCACTGTAAGCAACATCACACATCTGGTTTCCAAGAGTTGAGAGTTCCCAATCAAGAATACCAATCACTTTATCCTGTAGAAGGAAAAATAATTGAGTTTAAATTCATGACGCAGATTCAAGAAATTAAATATCAAAACATGATGTGTGCACATTCAAGAAATTGAATTGAAATTCATGATGCATGTAAACAAATTAGCATCTAAACGAATGATGCAACCCATGGGCATTTCAGTCAAGTGCAAACAATAAAAGATATATGTTAAGAACGGACATTAAGAATGAAAAATGGAAAGTTGCACACAAATTCCACAAGATGGAAGAATGATAATCTGTATTTGATAGTTTCCTAGAGATGGAAGGATACGATTCATGTAGCGGACAAAAATTCAGGATAAAGGCTCTGTTATTGTTGTTGTTGTAGGCCCCTCCTCTTTAATCTGATATCCGCAGTCTCATTTACTCTTCAACTCATACTTATTGTTTCTATTTCAAAACTCATCCAAATTAACTCTTCTCTGAGTCCATGAATTCCTTTACCTTGTGTGACTGTACTTTAGGGTGAGGGTAATTTTTTTACTCGGCACATTATTGAGGGGCACAGGTTGACATAAATGGGTTTGAGTCATTTATGGGTCAACCTGAACTATTCATTTATTAAACGAGTTAATTGAGGTCAACTTGTGTATGCCTTGTTCAACCCAATTAATAACCCGTTTAATCATATAAAGGGGTAACATCTCAGGGCAGTGACTAGGCCAATGCTTTAAAAAACAAGTGCCTAGCCTGCCTAGTCCTAAGCAGTACCTAGGGGCCCGCCTATGTCTTGAGGGAGTCTAGGGGAGCGTGGGTTGCTTACGCTGACGGCACCAATTAGGTCTTGGTCAAAATTTCCTCCTTTGCCACCTCCACGTCCTCCCACTCTCATTCAGCCTCCTCCACCGACCACGAACACCTCCTCCAACCTTCAGTAAAACCTCCATCACCACCACTTTAAAAAAAATCCAAATGAAGAAGAGAAACATATTAGAGTCGAACAAAAACAGATTTGATGATTTTGCAATGTATTTGACTACTCGTGTTTTTTTGCTTTTGGTGATATTTTAACCATTAGGCTTCTGAATTTAGGATATTATGTGTCAATGATATTAACTTTTTATGTTGGTATTTCTTAGTATCTACCATTTCGTCTATTTATGCATGGTTGATTATGAATCTATGAGCATTATTTAGTTTTTTGCAATTTTCTATGAATTTATTGCATTTATTATCAATTATTATAATTTAAAAATAAAAAATAGGAAATCAACCGTGCTCTTGCCTAGGCGCCTTGGCTCAGGCCGCATAGCGTTTTCTGCAAACTTCGATTAGACTGTGGATTGATGATCAGGATTGAAATGGGAGGCCATGGCCTCATCTTCGCTTGTCAATGAAGATGTTTGAGTAAAAATAAAGGTTCTACTTTGGGGGAAGAGGTTATTGAGTTGGGACTAAATCAAAGGGACTGGATGGTTAATATTTCTCATAGAACAGGAAAAATTGCTTTTACATTTGAGATCAGAGGCCCTGAGTTTTTTATACATGGATGAAGGTGGATGGTGAACAATTTGACTGCAAAATGAAGGAAATGAAGAGCCCTTTTGCTTTCTTTGCAAACCTGTCAAATTTTTCATTATTTCTTATGCATTTTGTGAAAAGAATTTATGGTCTTATTTATTTCTTTTTCTTCATTATTGAATTGTTTCTTGAGAGAGACAAATACTGACATGGTTCGAAGAGTTAATTTGAAGCCCTTATCTTGGTTAGGTGCCAATTGCCAAAGTTGTTGGCTCTGAAATTGGTCAGGAAACACCTCTCTATATCTTGAGCACTATTGGGAATCTATACAGGTCAATTTGGCTTGGTTCGGATAACCTAATTAATAAGCAGGCCATCATGACCCATTCATTAAACGTGTTGGGTTCGGGTCAAGCTTATATGGGTCTAATCAAACATGCCCAGATCCATACCTGACCAGACCCACCTTGCCACCCCAAGGTCATTGTACATAATTGAATCTTATGGTCATGCGATGCGGAAATCTGCAAAGTGTTTTCAAGCATGGGCTCTAGATGACTCTTTTGTTAATTCTGTGGTTTACTACAGATAATGACAGCAGTGTGTGGCTTATCTCAAACAGGAATATAGGTGACATTGAGTATGGTTTTAGTTGAACATTTATGGTCGATGAAACACTCTTTTTTAAATATATTAGGATTTAGGACAATATATAACTGTTTGGAGTCTAAAATACAAATCAAATTGTTCATCACTTGTTTCTCTCACGTGTAAAAACAATGTTATACTAATGTCGGGAACCAGTTATTAATATCTCAATTTCATTTCTTCATATTTTACGATAATCATCTGATGATTCATCTACTTATTGTGCAACGGTAGCTCACCCTCCTACATTCTTTTGGTAGGAGTGAACAGATTTTTCACTTTAGGCTAGCATAGATATTTGGGTTAGTTTCACAAAAAACCTAAAGCTTGCGGGTTTTGCAAACAATCCCCTGCCGGATGAACTATATAAATCACAGGAAACAGTTGAACTTGTTTAACTTAAATACGACGACCAATGGAGGTTACTTTATCTTGTCAAACTTTTGGATAATCTTACCCTATCTACTAAATATAACTTTCATAATCCCATTACGGGCAAGGGTATGAAAAAGTAAAAATTGGTAGTTTAGACTCTATACCCTACACATTAATGCAGTTTGTGAGAGTTTCCAATAGTTCAAGGGTTTATTATAAGTTGGAAAGTTCAAGGGGGTTTTCCATGATTTATACAGTTGGGGGGTTTTCTATGATTATAGAGTTGGGGGTTTTCTATGATTTATAAAGTTGGGGATTTTATGCAACACCCGCCAAAAATCAGAGGTTTCTGAAATTCACCCATATAACTTCTGGGAATCTCATTGAAGAAAGCGTGACTATTATTGTGATGATATAAACTGAGAAATTAGATTGAGTACTTTGGTTTCTACTTCCTGTAAACTTTTGATGGCATTAAATTTAGTTACAGTAACTGATTAAACATTTTTTTGTATTACTGGATTATGCTATATCTATTGAGAAGAAACAAGTTATTCTTTTGGACTTATTATTACTATTTCAGAATTTAATCATTATAGTCATTAGTCAGTCATCTAGCAATATCTTATCTATCAAACATCAGGATTGGTTTATAATAAAATAATAAATTTGTAATCATAAAGAAGAATATTTATTCTCAGATTGACGTATCAACATCTGAAACTAGTGACAACATTAAACAATCCTCAACATGTATTATTTCGTTATTAAATTAGGGCAATGCACTTGAACGTAGTTTCCTATAATACTTGCTTGTCTTATGAAATAATCCATATCATTTTCCTCTTGCAGTTTCAAAAATTTTCCTCTTGCGGTTTCAAAAATCTTGATAGGACAAGCACAGGATTTAGGTGGCATGAAAAAATGATAAAAAATGAACCGCAACTTGGGCATGTAATAATCAGTGATGACACACAAAGACAGGATATGTCCATTCAATTTTGTGTAACTAATGTCGATATCCAAAATCCTTACATGAATTTTACTTTGCAAATGAATGCCAGGTCTCAAGTAAGGAATAAGATCCACTGGATCATGCCACATTATAACTGGTAATAAGACAACGATAAGACCTGAAACTACATAAATATTTGTTAAGGCAATGCACCTGCTGAAGTTAGATGGATATACAGATTTTATACCTCGACTGGATGGAAAACTAAATTATCAATCCGAAAGTCTCCATGGACAAGACATGTGCTCCTTTCTGCCGAGGAATCTTCAACTGGGATATTCTTTTTCAGCCAAGTAATTAGTTCCAGCATTTTTGGATTTCTGTAAGGTTTCCCCTCAGCAGTTGAAGCAAGATACTGCCTTGCCCATCTTTCTACCTGCAAATGAAAAAGAATATGCACATTATACTCAGCGGACACCAGATGTTCAAACACTCATAAGAATGTCTAGAAGCAGTAACTTGCATATATGATTTGAATCAGATACTTATGAGATACTTCCTCATGCACACTATGGGAAAAAGGTGACAGTGGGACATCTTTGACAAAACATGCACAACAGTGAAAGAATAAATAAAATATGGCATGCTTTCATCAGAAAGAGAGAACCAACTGAATTGAAAACCCATGGTCTCAGAGATTCAAAAAATCATATCCTAAAAGGAGATTAGTCTGGCACCGGATTATTATACATATGTTCATGACTAAAAAAACACATATCTATGGTCCTCAGAGATACAAAAAGTAAACTTACTTGTCTCCTGCAATAGTGGTCCCTCCTCCCAAAATTTGGCAATCCAATAAAGTCCACATCAACTTTATGTAAGGAGGCTAAAGTGTTGGCAGTTGCTCGATAGATAGTCCGCCTCCTTTCAGGACTTATTCCCTGATCATGCAGAAACATTATTTACTTACATTTCCTAAAAGGAAATTGATTTTTGCAGTTGTTTGGTAGATAAACCTTTCTCTTTTGAAGACTTATTCCTGGATAATGCAGAAAAGTCATGTACTTGCAAAAATATGAAGAACGTACTTTGCTAACATATATTACTGACTAACAGGAAAAGCAATGCAGATAGCAGGTGATTTATCTTTCCATAGCCAGATGTGCCCGTGAAACAGGTCTATCACTATTATTAGACTATTACAGAAACCTATTAGCCAAAACACAGAGATTAAATAACAAATCTATTTATATAATCTTACCGGAAGCTTGTTATCTAAAAATATGCGTCCCTCCAAATATTCCATAATGTAGAAGGATGTCCCGATTATGTTAGGATCAGTACATAGGCAAAAGGCTTTGGGAACAGGAACACTTGTATGAATACCCAATGCCTCAATGACCTGTTAATTAAGAAAAAATAGAATATTAAAATATGGAAAGAAAGCAAATGCATGAAAATAATTGAAAACAAGCATGCAGTTACCAAGTACAACTGCATCCAGCATTTAAAGGAGCATATGAGCCTTTACTGAGCCATGGTCAGAACTCATGTTCATGACAGAGCCAGACTATCTTGAGGTAGGGCAAGTGTGTAACCTCAAATCTGGTTCAAGTACCTAGTTTTCTGTATTTGCATCATTTGCCCTACCTTGTACTTGGTTTTACTACCTAGTTTTTGTACATCTTACATCAAAATTTGGACTTTGATCCATTTAATTATGATTTCACATGTCACGATATTTTCAATCTAAATTCTACATTTTATTAGTTTTAATGAATAGTTTGTTTTTACTGAAAAAAATAGTCATGCTTTTTCGTAATATCTTTTGTGCAATTTTTTATTACCAATCTATTTGTACCGCCCCTGCTCATGTTTAAGGCTTGAAAGAACAGTGGACTCAAAAGGTTGTTTATTTTAACAATAACTTATCTGCTAAACCTGAGCTGATATTATCCAGGTTAGGGAGCTGTTGATCTGTCATCAGACTCAAATTCAAAAATTCCATCTTGATTAATATTAAAAAAAACATGCGCTTGATGAGAGAGATCTGCAAGCAATAAACTAACATCACTACAGATTAAATCTTCTGTGCAAGAATTCTAACAGAAGTTTGTATGAATAGTCAAAAAGAACTAACAGAAGTTTGTTTCAGTAGTTAAAAAAGATAAAGGAGACTGAACCCTTTTAAACAAAACATCCAATTGACACCTAGGAAGTCCTAATTTCCAGTAAAGGAGTAAGAAAAGTAAATGAGGGTGCTGTCAGCATTCTACAAAGGCAATTGTCCCTTCTTATTTGTTTTCCTGCTTTTTCAAGTCCAAGATACTTTGCCAAAGCTATTCTGCTCTATTTTACTTCCTAGGCACTATTCTTCTAGAGAAACAATTGAGCAATAAAAACAACATCTAACCTACTAAGATTCTGAAAAATCTTTGATAAATCCACCATCAAATATCATAAATTAACCTGTCTATACACAACTGAAAATTAGAAATGTTTTACAGCCGAAAAAGTCTAATGCCTCCTAACCAGACCTCGAATTTGCATTGCCATAAACCCTATATGTGCTAATACTGCAGGAAACACGTTAGCAAGTAAAAGATTGGATATCCAAATGCAAGTAATTAAGTTGGCAATGCAAAAGAGGTTAAAAAACAAGTCATTGCTTACCATAAGAAAACTCTTTCAATGCTCTTAAACGTTAAAGTACATCTCTTCCATGATACAACTGTTCAGATTACCAAACAACTTAGCTGGAAAAAAACATATCCAATATGGAGAACAATATAGTTGGTGGCTCCGTGACTAACAATCAAAAAACAAGCTCAGAAATCTCCAGGGCATAAGTTCTTTGCGTGCAACGTAGCCAGTGCTCATAATCACTTGCCCTTCACCCATCAAGTCTATAGGATGATGATGTGATGCAAAAAACCCATGACAACTCTCTTTATTCTGATCCAAGTTTCTGTTCCTCTGATTATGTTTCCTAACCTTTCCTCTTTGACTTTACCTACACCTTAAAATTTGAACGTAATCAACCCTCATGTTCTTCTAGACTCTCTTTTTTATGGCTTAGAACTCCAGAGGGTCGTTTCTGACTTTACGAGCCCAAACTACACATCAACTTAGGCTGTCTATATGCGAACTGACCTTCTAAGAATCATGATGAAGCCCTTTTTTGTCCACGATTCTTCTGGCTACAAATATAGCATAAATATAGATGGCCGATAAGAAAATAACAATTCAACAAATACCTTGTGAACCAAGATCCAATCTTTCACAGAAATCAGAGTCTGCCATAAGAAAACCCCTAAAATGCATAATTCCACTCAACTTCATTTGGAATTTAATGAGTTATGCGAAAAGGTAGTTGTATAGTTTTAAATGACGCCTCCATATTTGTAATTTTCACACCCAAATCCATCAACTTGTTCTAACTAAACCCCCCATTTCGACAAAGATTCGAGGGGTATACGATAAAAAAATAGTATAGAATACCCCAAAATAACCAAAAAGTAGGAGAATTCTACTCAATTTCAACCAACTCACGCACCTTAAACTCTCTTTCAACAGCGTGGGCGGATTCAAGAAGAACCCCAGGGGGCTTCTTCCTCAAAACGTACTTCTTCACCGTCCCATCGCTGCCGGCGACCTCGAGGAGAAAGGTAGGGTTCGATTGGCCATGGCTGAACTGCGACACCGTGAATTTGACGGGAGAGGCCGGGAAGCCCTCCACGTGGGCGATCGCGTAGCGGAGAAGCGCCGCCTCGTCGAACCTCTGCGAAGCGGCGACTTGACCTTGGAGCTCCGATGCCCGAGTCGCCATTGGAGGTCAAAACCCTAGTTTCGATGGAGAGAGAGAGAGAGAGAGAGAGAGATGAAGATTGAAGAAGCAAATTGGGAGCACGAGACGGAAAGAGTTTAAACAATGTATTGTTTGTTGAAATAGTGGGACCCCTGTCAGAGAGAGGCCAGCTGGAGTTCGCAGGGGCGGAAAAACTTATCCAGGGCATTATTCGGCGGGCCACACTACAGGCACACCATGCTCAGCCACACTCAACACTCTCATATGGGCCATGTTACTGTAACAAAGAGAGGAGAGTGTGGCCGAGGGTGTGGCACATGGTGTACATGTATCATTTTTGTTATTCGGCATGGCATAAAAGCACCGTGTCGCCTACGGAAGTCTTGTCGCTTTGTGTCAATATTTTAGTTATAGGTCGTAGCCTCGAGTGTTTGTTTGGTTCGTGAAATTGGGCCAGACCCTCCACATCGGCCAAAACCAGCTTTTACATTTCTTTTTTCTGGTTTGGTTCACAAAGAAATGGGCTGGTAACTCCTTCACGCATCAACAAAATTGGTTTCATCCATTTCCGCTCAAAACGAACGGAAATCGCTAGAAACCCTAGCCGCCTCTCACAATTTCTCTCTCGCTTTCTCTCATTGCTTTTTTGGGGGAAGAAAGAGAAGGCTAGGGTTACCTTCCCTCCATTCTCTCCCCGGCAAAAATTTCCCGCCGCCTTTGTCATCGGCTTCTTCGTAACAGTTTTCTTGTTTGTCGTCCTCGTCTTTCGCCTTATTCGTCGACTTCTTCGTCGCTGTTAATTGCTCGTGAATTCCTAAACTCTAATACTTTTCTTTAAATTTATGATTTTTTGGTTAGGGTGATAATGAATTGTGTTGGATTAGAGGAGGAAGAAGGGGTTATTGTGATCCTTTGCAGGATAAATTGGTTTTTTTTTCCCGAAATTCCTGAATTGGCTTGATTGAGGAGATCACCTGTTTTTTGGTTTGATGTTGAGATCTAAATTTTTAGTGTTGCCTGAATTTTTTGCTGAAATTCTTGTCATCTTAAATTCTTGTGATGCCTGAATTAAGATTATTTTTATTATTTTTTAGTAATGAGATGCTTATTAGTGTGTCCATTATAATACTCAAGTTAATAGGGAAAATATCTGGTGATGTGCAGCAAAGGAGTTTCTTTTAATTGATCTTGTATGTGTAAACACAAGAAAGATTTTTGAAGTGTCAATCAACTCTAGTGATTTTCTTTTGTATTAAACATAAGCATGCATCACTGGAGCAACGTTACCCTTGTTGTGATTCTGTAGCTATACTTGTATGGTGCTCGCATTGGTTGGTTCATGATATGTGCTTGCATTCTGTAGCTATACCTATGGGTTACCTTCATGATGCAGCTCATTAAAGAATGACAATCTGATATCATATAGTAATTTGTAATTTGTTCACACATCATATGAATGTTGACACATCTTCAATTTGCAATTTGTTCGATTTTTGAGTTACATTAAAATTGCCACAATACACATGTACAAACACAATTGCTACATAAAGAAGGTTCCATGTCATATTGCAATACATAAGCATCAATCTGTTGGTTTTGGGCCAATGGGGATAAAAATGGTATGCTACACAAGCAGGTTCTGAATCATGTCCTAGTATATGTATCATTAAAAATATATCAGTTTGTAATCTTGTTGGTTTGTCATTAATTTTTGTAAATTGTAATTCATTCAGAATTTGTAAGAATTCTACTGAGTTTCTAATTGGATAATTTTTTTCATCCCTTGAGGATTCCAACATATGCCAACATGCTGTTTATAGTTAGCCAGGTTGCAAGATTATTATTCCACACCTGAAAAATTAAGCAAAAAGTACAATATATGTACCAATGTAAATGATGTTAAACTGCACCGACTTGATTGCTTATGATATTCTTATTTTGTCCTTCGTTAGGTAGACTAGATAAGGCTGAATACCTATGTTACCTAGGTATTTCTATCTGAAGCTGAAGCCATACCCGACACATACCCGTATCAAAACTCTTTGTGCACTCCTTGCATATATGCATACATTACGCGGTCATGCACTCAATGAAACAATACAAGGGTTGAAAGGTTGCACTACATTTCTTTTTGAATTTTATTAAATAGTTGGCTACATGGTATCCCATGAGACCATATAGTTGATTTGCATGTAACTTTTACCTCCTATGCCTAAACTTTTGCCTCTTAAAATTATCTTCTTTACCGTCCAATGCATGAAGTGTGTAAATATGCATTAGACCGAGAAGTTATCCACGGCCCTATATGCTCATTTACAGGACTTTAGTGTTGAAAAGCTAGATACATACTACTGTCATATCTTTTTGAATGAGCATGAATTAAGACTACTTATGGGCATATCTTCGGTTGGTCAAAAAGAGATGATTGTTGCATTTCTCAACAAAGAGGGTTGAAGACCAATAGAATATGGGTTCACATGATATTTTATGATTCTCACGTCTAACATACTTGTTAAATCCACTTACTTTTGGTGAAAAACTAATCTTACTTAATCTAGGGAACTACTCTTAGGGATGTTATTTTTTGTGTTGGGGAACATTATGATGATGGAACATATTATTGTAATATATAGTAAGTATTTATATGCCTCCATATTTAGTTGTGATTCCACGTTTAGCGTACAGCTTCATATGAATGTTTACCTTTCATGATGTGAATATTGTAGAATACTAATTTTTACATTGAACTTGTGATTGCAGGAACTTTATAAGACACCATATATATGATAATTGATTAAATTTTGTATGCAAGCAACCTACAATATATACACATTGTATTGGATGACTACTGTTGTGGGTTATTAAGGTATTCGACTGTCATGCCACGAGTTTACATTGGTGACTTTTTTACTTTTAGGCTATGATGATTATCAAATTTTTTAAGATTAGCAACCTGTAATATCTATTGACCGAGTTCTGAGCCCTCGACCATAATTTGCATATACATGTGGCTGATTTTTTTATATGATGTCAACAAATGTTTTCAAATGATTTTTTTAATCATAAAGTTCATTCAAATTTGAACAATCATTAATTATCAAAGTAGTACACGAGAATAGCAAAGTAGTACATGTCAACGCTTTCATTTTCGTGATTTTAAATAGATTTCTAGACCACGATGCTCTCCAATATATTCCTTACTCAGATTGGCAACAACTTCATTGTAACCAACTTCATGTGTGAGTGTTAGGAGTTGATTTTTGTTGCAAAAATTGTTGGGTATATCTTTGCAATAAGGACACTTCTAATTTTTATTTCGCTCTATAACTTTTATAGCATTAGCTCTTAGTATAATTTCTGCTAATTTCATGATATCTCACATTTTATCTTGCTCTCGATCTGCATCCGTATAGGCAATTCATTCTTTAAAGATTTGTTTATGTTCAGTAATCCTTCCACGCTGATAAAGAACATAGAAATTTAATATTAAAATAAACAGATCTATTGTTTATCATAAAATTTTTAAATATTCTTATATTTGATGATGGTGCAGATGAAGATTCGCCAATATATTTACTTTTCTTACTCATATTTTTTCTTAGTTAGAATTTGATATGCAAACATTGTGTTTTATAGATGTTTATGGACTGATACGTTTACTTGGTGGTTGGATGTTGAACCTGACAATATTTATTTGGATTAATAAATTTTCTACTGGTATTGCCTATGGTTTTGAAGCGCTCATGGTTTTAAAACCTAACTGGTTTTGTTTCTTGTAGTTGACTCAACTACTCAGTCTCCGTTACATACATGTTTGATATTTTCAGGTTTGATGCGATTTTCTATGTCATATACATATTTATGACAAATCAGGTTGTTTACAGGTTTTTTACAGGTTTCATAAGAATTTTTCGCTAATTCAGGTATGTATTTCATAAAATTGTGAATAATCAGGTTATTATAGGTTTTGTTTGTTTTTTTCATGTCAAACAGGTTTCGTGTGATTTTTTCAAGTCAAATAGGTATATTTCATGTCAAATCAGGTACGTAGTTCATAACAATTAATCATGTTATTACAGATTTTTTATGATTTTTTATGTTAAATAAATATTTATAGTGAATTCAGTATTTACTATTTTTCATGTTACATTTGCACTTTTATTTTGCTAAGATTACCTCTCATAACGGTCACAAATAAATTTATTTTTAGTGGGGGGTAAACTTATCATGGTGACCGTATACACTTTTCCCTACACTTTAATACCAACCAAACACAAGAAAAGTAGAAAATATCTAATCAATAAAAGTTTTTTCCTTTTCTTTATACCAAGCAAACAAATGAAAAGGGTATGCTGGTTTCCCATCATGTTTTATGTGTGAACCAAACCTAAACAATCTATTTCTTGGAAAAGTTTAGAAAACCCAAACCTTTAGTTTCTTTACATGGAATTGTATTTCCCAATATATGGGAAACGAACCAAACAGACCCTAAGGATAATCTAACTAGGGGTTTTTCAGACATGAGTCTCTTGCATCGTTAATACTATGTAGTTAGTCTCTCAAATGAATAAGGCTAGGGGTTTCTCATGGAAACCATGGGGTCATTTTATAGAATTCACTTTTTATTTTTTATTTATATGTAAATCATATTTAAAGCAGTTTTTTATTTTTATTAACCATCTCCCGGTCAAAACATCCATTGAAAATCTAAAAATACCCATAAAAACTCACATGCAAGACACATGACTCACTTTGTTAATGTTTTGGTATAGTTAGGATACAAACAATGTACTTTAAACATGTATTTTTTAAATATTATTTTTTGATTTTTTAGTGAAGAGCGGGCTAGGAGGTGGTTGATTTGAACAAAATTTATGTATAAATTAAAAATAAAAGGTGATTTCTGTAACAAGACCCCACATTTAAGGTGGTTTCCAAAAAACAAAACTCTTAAAACTACTATTAAGTCCCACAATTCTTAATAGTCTTAGAATAATTTGAAATAAAATATAGGCTAAATATCACTTAAATACCATAAACTTTGCATGTTCTATAACTTAATTACCATAAGTTGTTTTTACTATAAAAAAGTTGT